ACTATGCCCGCTTCGCCTCTCGTTCGAGGGCGGCTTCTTTGCTCGCAGCGGGCTTCCTCGACTCAGGAACGTTGCCGCGCATCTCTGTACCACGCCCACTACCGATGGGCATAGCCGCAGGCTCATGACGCTCCACCAAGGTCACAGCAGTGCCCCTATCTCCATCGTCCTCTGAGGAACTCGCATCATCACCCGTCTCCATAGGTTCCTCCGACTCGAGCTCCGCCTCCACGTCGCTTTGGCTCTTGCCACCACGGACTCACCGGTTGATCTCCTTCTCCTTATCAAACCTCCTCTAGACCTTCGCGGTCTTCTTATTCTTCTTGGCAAGCGTGACCTCCCTCTGGGCGGCTTGCTGAGCCGCGCCTTCCGACCCTCTCGGAAGATGCGACTGGGATTTATACCCCGTGAGCCCCTGAGAAACAGGTGGCTTAAAATTAGTCTAAAGATCAAAACAGAAAGGAAAAAGGTCATGGGGAAAGGAGTATACCAGATCGGACAGCTTCGTGGCATGGAGAGGTCTAGGCGTCCCTTCGAGGGACTCATCATCCCCCAACTACAGCACCCGATCGAGATAACTCTAGACTTCATCCCTTGACAACTCTAGCGGTGACATGCGGTCGAGATCCATTGGGCCGGAGTATTCCCATATCGGTCGTGTTCTCTCCGCCAATGGGGCGACCCGATGGCAGAAGAAGGTGGAAGACCCACAACCCATCGAGGCCATGCCGCACGAGCCTTCGAAGCTCCGTCTCAATGATGTCCAGCTTGTTCTACCGATGGGTAGGACCCCACGACCAACTTTCCCTCCTCTTCGGCCTCTCCCTGGTGAACGTTGGGAATGGCGCTTCCGCCGGGTTCCTGATGTAGAACCACTTGCTGTGCCATCCCCGATTGGAGTCACTGGGGGAGTACGCCAGGTAGAGGACCGACGGCTTAGGCCGCTTCTGCAGGGCAAACTCGCCGACCGGAGTGATTCTAGGCTGTTTCCCCTCGGATAGGGCCCGCCCGCTGAAGATCTGTCGGAAGAGGTCCACGTGCGGCTCCATCCTGAGGAAGGCCTCGTAGACGGTGACGAAGCCGGTGATGTGCAGCACCCCAGTCAGGTTGAGGTGCTGCAACTCCAGGCCCCACTCATTGAGGAGCCCGTGCAGGAACCAGTGCGTGGGGTACCCCGAGCCCACCCCCGTGGAAGGTGAGGAAGGACACGACCTTGTCAGCCCGGGGTTGCGAAACAACCTCCCCCAGCATGGGAGCCCTCTAATACGCCACTTCCTTCGATGGGAGCAGCCCCTTCTTGGCGAAGGCGGCCAGCACCTCCTCATCCACATTGGAAGGCCTCCAGTTTGACATCGCACCTTGGATTTATGAACAAATCTATGAGTTTTTTCTCTCCCTCGCTCTGCCCTCCTCTCCCCTAGAAACCACCGCGGCACACGAACAGGCTTGGCAAAAAGAATGAAGGAGAAATGGCAGCGATTGAAGAAAGGCAAAAGAACGGAAGGAAAACCCTCTCCCTTCCCCCCTATTTAATGTGGAAAAGCGTGTGGCAGGATGTGGCCCTGGCTGACGGGACATGGCCTGCCCGATGGGACATCACCTGGCTAACGGGATGTGGCCTAGGCGGGGCCCACCACTACCACAACTCGGGGCACAGGAAACAAGGCGCAACCACACGCAAACGACCCTCCGCCTTCCCATGCAGGGTTTGGAGGGGCCCACCGATGGAATCTCCATCGAGGAGAGGCCAATGGGTCACCCGAGTTAATTGGATGGCTTAGGCAGCTGCCGAGAGATAGGTAAGCAGCAGTGGGATGCCGCATGCAGGTTATGCCGACTCCATCACGAACGATGGACCTGGATTTCACTTGGACATATCCGATAGGAGCTCCCCGAACCCGTCACTCCAGCCATCGAGGTAATTTTACCAACCCTCATTTTACTTTTCCAGTGCATGGGCATTCATTCATCCATTCTCATGCATGCATTCATACATTCAGTCATATATTCATCCATACATTCGTCCCATACATCCGAGCATTGCATATGCAATTATTGTATCACAACGCTTCGCGTTGCGTCACGAAGCGGTAGTCGTCTCATTCGATATGAGCGGCGACCGACCAGGGTTCGAAGGCTGGCCTACAAAGGGCTTGAGGCCGCCTCGTGTCAAATAGAGCCATGGGAGAAAACACAGATGAGCCCAAGCGGCCCTTGCCCAACCCGCTCAAGAGCAGATAGGGTCATCTCAACCTTCTTGTTCGATCCTGACCTCGAGCCGTTCCCACAGAATCTCCATCGAGGGGAGGTCGTCGGGCCACTTGAGTCGCTCTCCGGAACGAATCAGGCATCTACCGGGAGGCGGGTTAAGAAGCATCGGAGTGCCACATGAAGGCTTTGCCGACCTCATCATGAACGATGGATCCGGATTCCACTCGGACATGCCCGTTAGCGAGCTCACCGAGCCCACCACCCGAGCCATCGAGGCAAGTGGTGTCAGCTCAACCCCTCTGGTTGCGGAAACTGCGAACGGGGTGATGCAGGAAATCATGCGATCGACCACGACCGACCCCTTGTGGCTCAGGGGCTCGAGCCGCCAGATCCCGACTCGGGAACCCGACCGACCACATAGGTTGCGGTTGGAACGAACATGGGCGAACACCCCGACCGGAAGAGACACAAGAGTCCACTCCCCTGTCGGTCGTAGGCTCGGGGGCTACACCCACCAGGTGCGCTCGCGCGCACCCGACGGAAAACGGATTAACAGTGAGTCTCCTCCTCAGTGGTCGGGCGCCTATGTCTGCACGGCGCGCCTTCGCGGCCTTCGCCAGTCCTCTCCTCAGGGGCTAGGTGCCAATATCCCTCTGGCGCGCCTCCGCGGCCTTCGCCAGTCCTCCCCACGGAGGCTGGGAGCCCGTATCCACTCTACGCGCCTCCACGGCCTTTGCCAGTCCTCCCCGTGGAGGCTGGGCACCTGAATCCTACTTGGTTACCCTACTTGGTACAACAAACCAAGGGGGAAAACGTCGAAGCTCCAATAAATAGCCCGCCTCCACGGCGTAATGGGCACATGAATTATAAAGCAAATACAAGCTTTCATTAAGCCAAAGACACAAGTTCTAGGCTTTTACAATAACACACAAAGCTTGTGTAAATAGCCCCAGGACTGCTCCATACGTTGGGGCATGAAGCAGAACAAGGGAGCCAAGATCCTTGTTATCCCGCTACAATGCTCTCCTCCATCTCTCCGTCCTCTGATTCAGAATCTGGGATAGGGGCCGTTCGAGACGTACGATGCTCTCTCCTTATGAGAGATCTTCTAGCATCGTACTCCCATACGCCCTTAAAAGCGGCAACTCAACAGCCCCTTCATGGCTTCACAGAAGCCCCAAAGGGGCTCGGCGGCTCCTGTCGGGTTCATAAACCCGGGGTCCCCAATGGACCCGTTTCCCTGCAATACTTGGTCCAGCAGGCGGCGCAGCGACAGCGCGCGTCTGGGCCGTCCTAGATACACGATGACAGGCCAAGACCATGATCCGGTCCCCGACCGACACCTTCGGCCAGGAGATCTGGTCGGAGCCCCGACCGGAAGGCCTGGCCGAGGTAGGACCGTAGCCCGACTCCAACACCGTTACTTCGACCGAGGATATGCCGGACCTTTGCTCGCTGCTCTTTCCTGACCGACACGGTCGGGGCCGACTGGAAACTACCGACCGGGGACACCCGCTCGGTGTGGGCCCGGGGAGCAGGCGGAGTAGATAAGGTAAGGTGCTCAAGTCAACCGTAATATCGAGGACCGTACCCTGCCATGCCTTGCGCACCTGCAGGACGGTGTCGTCGGGCCATGCTAGGCGAACACTCTACAGCCTGCTAGACGCGTCAGAGTATAAACAATATTGTGGGCGCTGGCGTTTACCGTACCAGGCGAGCACTCTACATCCTGCCAGACGTGTCAAAGCATAAACAATATTGTGGGCGTTGGCAGCATAAACAGTATTGTTGGCGCTGGCAGCGTAAACAGTATGGCGGGCGACGGTGGCCATCCCATACTCGATGCGTGTGGGCAACAAGACTAGGGAGCGCCCGTATGCACTCTCGCTTTTTCTCTCTGGCTTGTAAGGTCATCCCCTTCAACTATAAAAGGGGATGCGCTCTCTCCCGACAACTAGAGGACTGAAGGGGATGACTGGAGGACTCGAGAACTCCACGGCTAAAAAAATAGCTCAACAGCTCGATAGCTACATAGTCTACATGCTCTCAATAGCTGATAAGCTCGGACACATAGAGCATATTCTCCAATACTTAGCGCACGTTAGAGCATCCATCACTCTCATCCACTTGTATCAGACTCCGACCGGTCCTCTAACACCTCCTTCTCATTCCTTACTCGTTTGTAACCCCACAGCAAACTTCGAGCACCTGGGTTCAAGAATAAAGTCACCGACCGACTGAAACTGGATATAGGGCACGTTGCCTGAACTAGTATAAATCATGTGTCATCGTGTGTTAGGCCACATCCGATCATAACGCACGATAAAGCTAAAAATATTTAGCTGTGGGCCACATTTCGCACCGATACGTTGATTTCTATACAAGATTGCTTAGAAGCGGTAAAAGAAACCACCTCTATCAAGTGATTTATAATTTAAAATGGTGGGACTAATTTTTTTTACCTCCCTAGAAATGCTTTTGGTAGTAGTTCTAGATAAATTTTACTTACCACGAAGTTTGAAAATTCGTATGATTTGGACACCGTGGAGTATTTGCTAGAAGCAGGCGAACCTTTTATAAGTGCAAATTCAACGACACGCATTTGAAGGGACAATCTCTTTTGCCCATCTTCCCAAGCACAGCGCGAATCTGTATCACCATACTAATTAAAATTCGTTTGTACAGCACAGAGCACACGAATATTTTGATCTATAGCACGGGCACATCCTAACTGACTGTGGTCTGTATATTTGTAATCCAATCCAATTTGTATGCTTTGATCAGAGTTTCTATGGGCGTTGGATCCTGGTGGTGAGGGATGGCCTCATCTTGACGATCTGCTCGCCGTCGACGCCCATCCGCCTGGCGGACGCGCCGGCCTCGAAGTAGCGCTTGACGGCGGCCTTCATGTAGTCGATGCCTTCCCTGACGTTCATCTCGTCCCTGATCCGGTCCTGCAGGCTAGCGAGCTGGTGGTCCCCGTTGAGCACGGAGGCGAGCTGGATGATCTCCTGCTGGAACTCGCTGAGCTTGGCCTCCTCGTCGGCCTCCGTCTGCCTGATCCTCGTCGGCGTCGGCAGCTGCTCGGGGCAGTCCGTCCTGGGCTCGGTCCTCCCCTGCGCCACGCCCTCGAAGGTCCCCGCCCACGCGTCCCGCTTCGTCAGGAAATCCTGCGGCAGGTTGAAGATCCTCTTCACCGTGGCCGGGATGGACGAGTGCTCGTACTGCGACGTCGGCGTCGGGCCCTGGGGCGCGTGGACGACCGTGCCCTTCTCGATCCAGGGGGAGACGAGGATGGCCGGGACGCGGACGCCGAGGCGGTCGAAGGTGAAGTTGTACGGCGGCGGGCCGACGATGCCGTCGGGGCTGGGCACGCCGGCGACGGGCGTGGGGACGTGGTCGAAGAACCCGCCGTGCTCGTCGTAGGTGATGACCAGCAGCGTCTGGTTCCACTGCGGGGACGCGCGCAGCGTCTCGTAGACGTACTTGACCAGCATCTGGCCCTGGTACACGTCGTGCGACGGGTGGTCGTCGTTGGCCGGGTCCAGCTTCGAGTCCAGGTAGTGCTGCTCGATGACGGCGTAGTTGGGGAGCACGCCACGGCTGGCGTGGTCGGCGAAGGAAGGGCGGAGCGGGTGGAAGTCCAGCAGGTACTTGAGCTTGCGGAGGTTCCTGTAGAAGAGCACCGCGGGCACGTCCTGGAAGTAGACGCCGAAGGAGAGCCCGGCGTCGTGGAGGTTGTCGAAGATGGTCCGCTGCGGGTACCCCTCCGCCAGCAGCCTGCGGTGGAAAAAACAAAAAGCTGGTGTCAGGGCCCATCCGAGAGAATCTGGGCCGAATGTGATGGGCGGCCGTTGTTGGTGTCATGTGTGCAACGGCCCATATGGCTGGGCCTTTTTCCTTTACGAATTTGGTTGATTGCTGCTGAAATGGATCGAAACTGCACCTGGCTTTGATCCGATGCTTACTTACCTGCTAAGCTTTAGCTTCAGCGTTTCAGGCATTACAGATGGAATGGAATCTAGAAAGCAGAAGCCCTGTTTTGTTTGTTTTTCTCCTTTTTCTTTTTTATATCGATTGTCAGGCCTTTTGCTTTATCCCTTTTTGAACTCGTGGAAGCAACCTCTAGTTGAATCTGAATCTAAAAAGAAGTTGATAGAGCCTACTACTATACTAGTCTAATGAACACGAGTAATCGTCTGGTTCGCTTGGGCTTGTTTCGCTGATAAACCTCTTCTTTAGCTATGGCAGTAGTGTTACTAGTACAGTAACAGTGTCTACCAACAGGAGCAGTGCGGAGCTGAATCCTCTCAGCTCAGCAGCAGCAGCAAGTGGCTAGCTTGAGCCGACGCACCGACCTGCTCGATCCGCATGCGCATCCACTGACGAGAGTGAGATCACAGTACTGTACTACAGTCTACAGTGACAAAAGCCAAAGGAAATGCACAGCTCATTTCTTAACAAGTCAAAACTTCAAATCTAACCAAATATATAACAAAACTTACCAATGTTTATGATATATAACTATCACTACATTAATCATGACATTTGTTTTCATAATAAATCTATCTAAATATATTACTGTTGATACTTTTTTCTTATAAAATCAGCCAATTTTTTTTTTTAAAAAAATCACAACTTGAGAAATGAGATGTACGATTATTTTGTCAGATATTGATTGACTTATGATTTGACCACTACGTAATGCATGCAAGTACACCAACAAGGTCACACCTAGGACATTATTTCAGGCGTTACAAGTGTTATAGCATTGTTTCAACAAAAAAGTATAGATAAACCTTAAGTCAACAAAAAATTAAAAGACAAAATGAAAAACAAAACATGGGACCGAGGTACTATCCTTTTATTAGTAAGACAACAAGTGCTACATAGGCTATGTTAACTCTAGTGACTAGCTAGTGAGCATGCAACAGATTTGACACCCGCACTGCACTAGCATCCATCTATCGATCAATAATTCAATCAATGCTAACAAGGTTGGCAACCAACCCGTTGCAAATTTCCTACGGTGGTCGATCGTCCACACGCACCCAGACGGAACGCAGTAATATATGCCAGCTCGAAAAATCATCTGCTAAATTATTAAATACGACAAAAAAAAGAACTAAAAGAGCAGGAGCCAGACAGTGGACAGTGGACAGCACAGATATGGAATAATAAATGTGCACGAATAACAAATAAATAAAAAGAGCACTCAAATAAAAATAAAAAGAAGAAATGCAGCAGCACGTATAGTATAGTGTATATACGAGGCACGTACGTCGGGTTGTTGCTGGTGGCGCCGCCGGACGTTCCGGAGTGGACGAACAACCGGTTGGGCTGCGTGGACGACGGCACGGACGCGAACCACCGGTCGCAGACGGCGAACTGCGACACCAGCTCGCGGTAGACGGCGACGCTGTCGGGGGCGAACCCGTGCATGACGGCGTCGGTCATGTTGCCGCCGCCGATGGACCGCGACTGCTGCACGAAGCCGTCCATCCGGGGCGGGCCGGACGCGTCGTCGGAGCCGAAGATCTGCTGCCGGATCTCCTGGAACGAGTGGCCCGGGTCCGGGTCCACGTACGCCGCGCCGTCGCCGAAGTAGACGCGCCCCGACGACGGGTCCGACGTGTTGGCCGGGTTCCACTCGCGACCCGTCACGCCGTCGATCTCGGGGTTGAGACGCTTCATCCATCCCAGCATGTGGTCGAACGACCGGTTCTCCATCACCAGCACCACCACCGTCTTGATGGGGCTCGTCGTTGATGTCGATCCCGCAGCGCCGGTCAGGAGGAGGAGGAGGAGGAGGAGCACGGCGACGGGCGGCGCGAGGCTCCGTGGCGGCGGGCGGGCGCGAGCCGCCGCCATTGTTCCTTCCTTGTTCGCTGCGACCGAATGTCCAGTGGCACAGTGGGGTCGGGAGGAGGATTGGGGGGGGAGGGAGGGAGTGTGAGCAGGGAGGCCTCTGGTCTGGTCTGGGCTGGGAGCTCGTGCTCGTGAGTGATGGATGGACCCCGGCGGTGGTGGTGGCGTGGCGTGGCGTTTTATTGGGTGCGGAGTGGGGAGGTGACGGTTGTCCGGTTGCGGATGGAATGGATACACTCGCATGGACGCGGTCCACTATACCCGAGGTGCATGGGTGCCGTGAAATTTTCGTATTTTGGACTCTTTTGAAAATAATTTTTAGAAAAATACCAACGTCAAAACATTTTCTGAAAATAGACTATTTTTAGGCGTCTTAGCACATGACGCCGAGATATGAGGCTCGGCGTCGTGTCACTCGACGCCGAGGTATTGCCACATCACGGACGACCGGGGTCGTCGTCGACACGTTGGCGCGTGGGTCCGCGACGTCGGCGTCGTGTCAGCCGACGCCAAGTACCCAACCTCGGCGCGGTCTGACTGCGCGCCGAGATCTGGCTTCATCCGGAGCGCGGCCCAGGCGGCCCAACAAAGCACGGTGGCCCAGCAGCTCGGCGTTGGGTCACTTAACGCCGAGCCTCCAGACCTCGGCGTGATCCGACTCAACGCCGAGGTCTGGACCCTTTAGGCCGCGCCGAGGCCCCTTCTTTTTCCTCCCTTCATTCTGAAACCGCCGGCCTCCCTCTCTTTCTCTTCTCCCCCGCGCCGCCAGCAAACCCTAACCTCCAAAATCGACCCCCGGTGCCACGATCTCGGCTCCCGAAGCTTTCTCGAGGTAATGGTCCCTCTCCTCCTCCATTCTATCCGCGTAGATGTGCTTACATTGTCCCTAATCATGTGGAATCATGGTTGTTTGGTGATTTGGTATATTTGTGTTTGCATTTGCAAAATGTATGGCTTAGGATGATTGAGTGCATTGTTGTTTAACTGTTTTATGTGATGAACATGTTAGGTTAGTTTGGTTTCTAGTTATTTTGGTCATTAGGGTTATTTGTTTATTGTAGGTGTTATTAGGGTTAGTTATTTGTTGGTCATTAGGGTTACTATGTATTTTATTTATTTGTTGGTCATTACATTTCAATTTGTTATGACTAGAAATGATTATGTTGTTGGGGTTGAAAAACGATGAAATGATATATTTTAGTTTCTACTTATTGGATTGAAATATATTCATATGTTACACTACTTGTTGTGTGATGGCTGTAGATGGATAAATTAGTGAGGTTGCATCATGGAAGCTGTATTGTTAGGACAAGAGATGATTGTTTGGAATTTCTGGACATGTGTGAGGAGTTGTTGATTTTTTCTAAAACACCATCTTTGACCCAGTTAGTGGAGCGAGTGAAGATTAAGTTAGGCTGGAATGAAGGAGACGTGCGTGTTCAGTTTGAAGGTGTCATAGATGTTGGGTCATCGAAGGGTCTCGGATCAAGCGGTTGCTCAAAATTACAAGCGAGACTGAATGGAATGATTACAAGGCAGTTGTATTGGCCTCAGAAGTGCGATCTTTGGATTTAGTAGTAAGTAAGGAGTCCGGCTTAGGAAATGATAACTTCGAAGCATGGCCATCTTCCTTCGCTCACATAGGTTATGGTCCTTTGCCTGAAGAAGAAATACTTGTCACACAACTAGGCTACGGTGGAGATGAGGAAGAGAATCCGGTTGCGATGGTGAGGGCAATCATGATAGTGATGAAGAGGATGATGATTATGTAATTGTTGATGCAGAAGAAGGTTTGGACGACGCTAGCGGAGACTTTTCTATTGAGGATGAGCTTAGCGACGAAGATGATCTTAGTAGTGAAGAAGACTTTGGTGATGCTAGGGCTACGAACCGTTTTGATATGGAGATAGCTGGAGATGATGAGTCCTTCATAGAGGAGATAGCCGAAGACTCTGATGACGATCGCCCTGTTGGTCGTCTGAATTTAAGGGAAATAGAGATATTGTCTAGGGTCTTGCCTTGAGAGATCCACTAGTTGGTGATTTCGAGGACCTTAGCCATGGTCATAGGGCGATGAGTCGATGGTGGGCCAAGTGATACAACTGTGCCTGATGTTAGCGGTTGCCTCATCATACGGAAGGGCATATTGTTTGCTACCATGGATGAGTTGAAATCATGGTTGCAAGAGTACTCCATTGTACATAACCGACCTTTTAGGGTCATCAATTCATTCAAGGAGAAGAGGTACACTTGTTGCTTGTGAAGAACAACAAGTTGTGGTTGGAGAGTATGTGCTAGGAAGACGAAGGCGTGCAAATGGAAGATTACCTCGATTGAAGCAACCACATGTTTGTGCCCATCACGAAAGCGTAAGAGAACCATCTACTGACTCAATTCTAGGTTCATTGCAAGGCAATTATGCCCTGTGGTGAAGCATATGCCAACCATTACGGTGTGTTCTGCGTTGGTTGAGATCATCTTCCAACGGTACAATTACTATGTCAAGTATGGGAAAGCATGGAGGGCAAAGCGTGCACTTTGGAAATAATATTTGGAAATTGGGAAGAAGCTTATGAGCGCCTCCCCGTAATGTTGAACGCATAATGAGGGTCTGTAAATCACGGGATGCACTTGAGTATTTACCTAAGGAGGGTGAAACAAGGAATGATAGCCGTGTATTTGGAAGGGCGTTTTGGGCGTTCAGGCGAGAGCATCGAAGCATTCAAGCATTGCATGCCCGTCGTCTCAATTGACGGGACCTTTCTTCTGTGGAAATTTGAAGGCACAATGCTTATTTGTATTGGGATAGATGAAGAGGACCAGACTTGTGCCATTGGCCTTTTGCGATTGTTCGGAAGGAGGACACGGATAGTTGGTGTTGGTTTCTCGTGCTAGTAAGACAAGTGGTAATTGGTCCGGGACGTGATGTTTGTGTGATATCCGATAGGCATGTTGGCATTCGAATGCCGAGAACAAGAGATTCTCTGTTCTGACCAAATACATCACCGGTGGTGCACCAGCACACTTTGCTCGAGAATCTTATAAGGCGTGATCACACAAAGGACAACTTCAAATTATTTGAGGAGGTTTGCAGCAAACAAGAGGTTCAATTATTCAAAGACAAGTTAGATGCCCCAAGTTAGCCACAAATGTTGATGGCAGGCAATTCTTGAGCGAGTTGATGGCGTCGAAGGATAAGTGGTCACTTGCATATGACACGGGTGGTTGGAGATGGGACTTCATGACTAGTAACATGGCAGAGATGTTCAACAGCCTTCTAAGAGGTTGTCGTGGTCTGCCTGTGACTGCTATTGCCTCATTCACCTTCTACAAGTTGAATTCTTGGTTCGTTTCGAGGAAGAAGCATGCGAGGTCTCTATGGACAGCAGGCAAAGCTTGGCAACTTTTAGCATATCAGGAACTAGCTTTCTCAAAGAAAAAGTCTAAACGACAGAAGGGTTCATGTTTCGATCCGATCAACCATGGATATGAGATTCTAGAGGGTGGCGGAACTAACATTGGTGGTGAAGACCGGGGTGCTCGAAAACATAAAGTAGTGATCAATGAGAACAAGTGTACGTGTGGAAAACCGATCATATACCATAGGCCTTGCTCCCACATGATTACAGCCTGTCGCCTTAGACGTGTTGACCCTAAGGTCCCTCCCCGTATGGCCGCGGAGTTCTCTTTGAGGAACCTAATGAGCACCTGGAATCCTCAGTTCGAGCCATTTCTTGACGAGAGTCAATGGCCTACTTATGATGGCCCCAAGTATGTGGCTGATCTTGGTTTATTCTGGAAGAGTAGAGGACCTAGGCGGCGGAAGCGGTTCAGGATGGACATGGACCGAGCCACGAAAGGTAGATCAACCACGAGTAAGGTTGGGAGACATTTTGTAGAGGACACCCAAAAGAGCCGTTGCTCTGGTTGCCATAAGCCGGGCCACAATAAGAGAAAATGTCCTGAACTACTTAGACAACAGGTATCCATCAAGCTAGCTACTAGAATTGCTTTGTGTAATGGTACATTGGTTTACTTTTGTTTTTTTATTTTTATGTTACTTCGTACCACATACACATGCTTTAACTTATACTAATGGTTTGGCATTGCTTATGTTGCAGGATGGATCGGTTCCCCCTTCTTGATCCAAGGTTCGATGAGCACCACCGGGCTCGGAGGATCGAGAACGGAGAGGTATATTCAACAATTCGTATGAAAACATTGCATTGTTCATGTTTTGCTCTATAGTCCATGCTCTTTATAAAGTGACATGAACCAATACTTTTTCATGCTTGTCTTTTTTTTGCAGGTTTTGAATGTGCTGAGGCCAATGACACATGAGGCCTCTACGACCATGGTCTACGATGAGAGGTACACGCCCCTCCTGAAGCTGGCGAACCTTGCTACCGTTGCTCATGTTTGTCGTCGAGGCACGCCACCTTTCAACCCAGCGGTGCTGACGGCGTTGATAGATCGGTGGCGTCCGGAGACACATAGCTTTCACCTACCATGCGGGGAGATGACGGTCACTCTCGAGGACGTTGCCATGATCCTTGGAGTCAAAATCCGAGGATTCCCAGTGACAGGAGACACGGAGTCTGAAGGATGGTAGCAGCGGGTTGAGCACTTCTTGGGACGGCCCCTAGCGGTAGTTGAGGCTGGCAAGAAACGACGCAGCAGTGGGGTGTCCCCGAGGTGGCTTCGTCAGTAGTTTTAGGAGTGCCCACCGAACGTAGACGCTGAGACCGTGACATACTACTGTCGGGCCTACATCCTCCACATGTTAGGTATGGTTCTCGTCCCTGACGGCACTGGAGACACGGCGTCCTGGATGTACATCCCGTGCCTTTTGAACTGGGAGGATACCGGCAATAGGAGTTGGGGCTCGGCTATACTTGCCTTCCTGTACCGTCAGCTTTGCGAGGCTTGCCGCCGTCCTGGAGGCACGCACGCTACAATGTCAGGGTGCATCACACTGTTGCAGGTAATAAAGCAAAGTTGTA